TCCCCTTAAAATAAAGGGGAAAATTTACAAAACCGTCGTAAGACCTGTCATGATGTATGGATCTGAATGTTGGGCAGTGAAAGGGACGGATAAAAGGAGAATACATGTAGCGGAAATGCGTACGTTAAGATGGATGTGTGGGGTAACACGATTGGATAAGATACGAAATGAGTATATTAGAGGAAGTTTGAGAGTAGCCCCAGTGGTTGAGAAAATAAGGAGTAAAAGGTTAGAGTGGTATGGGCATGTTATGAGAAGGGATGAATCGCATGTGACAAGAAGGATATTAGTTATGAATGTGGAGGGGTACATCGGTAGAGGTAGACCTAGAAAGAGATGGATGGATTGCGTGAAAGGTGACATGAACAAGAAGGGAGTGATGACTGAGATGACGGATGATAGAATGCTTTGGAGGACGAAAACCCGGTGCGCCGACCCTACGGGAGTAGGATAAGGCAGGGGAGATGATGATTACAATATGTTTATTTCAACTAAAAGCTATAATATAATGTAAGCTTTAATTTATTTGTTTTTGAGTACATGCTGTGTTGACATTTCACAGAGAAAAGGGTAATGAGTAATCATAAAAAAAACTTACGCCAAGTAGATTTCCCTGTAAAGGTACTCAAATTTAATATATTACTTTAATAGTTTTTTTATTTTATTTATTACTTTTTTGTTTAAGGTTAATTAAAAAGCTATATTATGATATGTTAATTTTACTAATCATAAAAAAACTTACACCAAGATGACTTCCCTGAAAAAGGATTCGAATTTAATATTTCACTTTAAAAGCATTGTTATTTATATTTTGTTTTAGGTTATTTGAAAGCAATATCGCGATATTTTTATTTTAACGAAAAGCTAGAAGATAGTGTAAGCTTTAATTTGTCCAATTGGAGACAATGGAAGAAATGTATGGAGAAAGTAATATGCTAGAATTACGCAGGGAAAAGGTTTAAATTTAAGAAATACTTACATCGCGTTGATTTAGCTGAAAAAAATATTTTAATTTTTAGTTTTTAAAACCTTTTGCATGTTATCAAAAATATAGATTACACTTTGCTTCAGTTTTAGGTTAAGTAAAAAGTAATACTTCAATATGTTTATTTTATCTAAAATTTTTAAAATTATGCGGAGAAAAGGGTAATTATTGATCATAAAAAAACTTACGCCAAGTAGTCCCTGAAAAAGTACTCTAAATTAATATATTAACTACTTTACAAGTTTTGGAATTATGGTTATAAAATAGAGGACAATTTGTTTTAGGTTAAATTATAAGCAATACTAGCTGTTTCCATGCGGCTTCATCCGCATGAAATTATCAAAATTTTATTTTATGGTTTACATTTGTCAAATTATCAATTACAAATGTCAAAATGACATGACACGATGAAAGCTTGCTTCCATGATGTTGGCAGCAACTTATGGTCTCTTTCCCACATTAGGGTTTTACCCAAAATTTTTACCCCCTAAGTTTATTGGCGTGAAAATAGGCCTAAAGCGTGACCTAAGTATAGTGGTTTTTCTTTAAAAAAGGAATTATTCAAAAATATGCTGTAATTGCTGACATCTTAGGCAACAAAGAAGTGCGTGTTTACGCTTTATTATAATAGTATAGATATTACGATATGTTTTTTGACTTACGTCATCCAAACCGTCATTTAAATCTGAAAGGTCCGACGATAAGTGTCTAGGAAACAATATCTGTAAAATAAAATGAATGTATTAGAAAATTATTAACTACATCAAAATGTATCGTTTGGCTAACATATCGAAGTGACTGCTGCGAATAAGGCCAAGTCGAAAGGTGTGTCAGGCTCGAGACCAATGGAGTTCCGTGGCCTTCCTCTGTGTTATGGGCATGTTTTATGTGACTGCTGTATATACTAGCTGTTGCTAGACTTTGCCTATGTTACTCATTGATAACATAGCTTATCAATGATGAAGGAATATTTGAAATCAGCCCAGTAGTTTTTAAGTTATTTCAATACGTATAAAAACACAAATCTTTCGTCTTTATATTAGTATAGGTATCACCAAATACATGTTCATTTCATATTCTTTCCTAAGAAATGGGGGGAAGGTGAAGAGGACGGGAATTTTGCCTTTACCACATTAATAGAATATGATATTGCTGGCTGCAACAGTATGAAGGAATAGTTTTAAGTCACTTACTTGTGGAGCACGTTTCTCACGAAGCAATCGACCTTCTGGAACGTCTTGATCTTGGAGCTGCTGCGAGTAAATGATTTTATTTAATCTTTTTGACTTACATAATTCATGTTAATATTTCTAAGCAAAGTCGGGAAGTTAAGTAGAACAACTTACGTCATCCGAATCGTAAACTTCCGGGAATGCTGAATACCCCAACAGGACCTGTAAATATTTCCGTGTTAAAAAAAAACAAAGTGGTAGAGCCCGCAGTAACAGGTTCACAAATGAGAAAGCGGCTACCAGAATTACCCTAAATATACCGCTGCTTACATCATTAACATCAAGAGCGTCGCCGTCGGTGGCTTAGGGGTTTAAGCACTTGACTTGTAATCCCCACACAATGGCCAGGAGGGAAAGGAGGGGTTTAGTGGGGTATGCACCCCACTATGGGGGGAGAGTCCCACATAACGTTCGTGTCTGCCCCGAGGCACGGAGTATGCGTAACGCATTCCCCTTCGGAAAAAAAGGCCTAGTCATCCTTGACTTGGGGTAGGCGCCGAGATCCTTAGTGGGGACGTTTAGATAGACGTGACGTCATCGTGATGATCATATCATCTCCTCTGCTTTGTCCTATTCCCGTAAGGTCAAAAGGTTTTCGACCTGCAAATAACTCTATCATCTATCAGTCATCACTCCCTTCTTGATCATGTCACCTTGCACGCATTCCATCTATTTCTAGGTCTACTGTGTGTGTACTACACTCATAACTAACGTTCTTGTTACATACGATTCATCCCTCCTTATAACATGCATATACCATGCTATCTGAACCAGTCATTTGTAATAATGAAATATAAGAAAATGTTATATTTACCCCTTTTCCCTGAATCAGAGGGAGTACAGCACACACAAGGATTAGGAACTTCATTGTAACTCGATGTTTACACTACATTTTACTAACTCAGACCGCTTATTTATATAAAAATTTCTAGAAAACAATCCAACGCTTCAATAAAATTCTGAACCTTATATCGCGGGTCATTTACTAGGCTTTAAGCGATTTTATGGTATTAATAACTTTATAAGGTAATAAAATATTGTAATAGTGTTATTACAATATGTGGTACGTGAAATTCAACTTTTATTATCGAGGTATCGAATGGGTTATTCGAGCAAACAGCGGTCTCTACCATTATTAAATAATTTCAGTGATAAACTTGAGGATCTAGACCGATGTGCGGGGTGGATAAGATGTAATGAGTATATTAGAGGAAGTTTGAGAGTAACCCTGAGGTGGGGAATATGGGCATGTATGAGGAATGAATCGCATGTTACAAGGAGTACGTTAGTTAACATTATGTGTGTGAGGGGTACACCGGTAGAGGTAGACCTAGTAAGAGATGGATGGATTGCGTGAAAGGTGACATGATCAAAAATGGAGTGATGACTGAGATGACGTATGATAGAGTTATGTGGAAGACAAAAACTGGTTGCGCCACTATTAAATTAGGAGGAAGATGATGATGAAACGAGGATCCAGAACATTTCAACAGTATCATTAGAGCTTTAAAATTTACAGTAATGCTCACCCTTAGTGGCTACTGATCGACTTTATCTTAGCACGAAAAACGTTACTCTCATAGAAATATCATAGTTTAGAAGGCTTATTGACTTTGTTCTTAATTCTTCGTGGACGAAGCTACTTTGCTAGAAACATTGGTTCTTGTTGCACATTTTTTGTAATATCACCGTGATGTTAAAGCATTAGTGTAAATTTTGAAGCTTTAATTAACATATTCAAGAATAATCGAGCTGTTTCCAGAATGTTCGATCGCGGCGAGTAGCGAAAAGAGAGTTCCATTATGAAATTTATTCGGGCTATCGAGAAAGTTCTGGAATAAAATGACAAACGAATAACGAATCAAATCTTTCACAGTAGTAGTGCCCGCTTTAACATCTTAGCACGAATGGGCCGGCACGCCCGGTGTAATACCACGACCACACAGAAGACAGGCGTGAAGTGGAAGTAATTCCGTGTTTCGTCTGATGAGTGTGGTGCCGGAAGCCTAATTTAAGTCCCTTATTCCTTACCACCCTTTTCTCATAAGCAGAGGATGGGAAGGGGAAGTGGATTTGACGGTGGAGTTGATTCATAGAAAGGGGAAATATCCTCTTTATGTGCGTCTGCTCCTCCGTCGGATAAGGGTAGGCAACGCATCTGAAATTGCGGATGTTTGGGCAGCGGTCGCTTCACCATTCTGGCGGATTCAGGTGGCCGCTTGCTCGTTTGCCACCTTATGTTATTGTTGTTACGGTCGCCACTTTATGTGGCTTATAATCTTCTATTGAAACACACGTATACTATTTCACGGTATTTATTGTATTGAGTGTTACTGTTGCTGTTGGATTTTACACACTGATCGATGCGGGGGCGCGTAAGACGTTGCGCCCGCAGATTTTAGGGGCGGTCCTGTGCGTTGAGTGGGGGAAGCGCGGACCGGTTTCGCAACCCATCATAAAGCGCTGTTTAGGCGCGAACATGCTCGGGGCCCGGTTCGTCCAGCAGGGGGCACAGCCGGGTGAGCTCGACGAATAGTCCTTCTTGTAGTGTTGATGTCTTCTAGTTGTATTTCAGCAGATGTAATTGATGTCAGCGGCCGGCCGATGAGGAAGTGACCTGGAGATGAAGGTAGGCAGTCATCAGGAGTTCAGGATAATGGAGATAGAGGACGACTATTTTGTTATCGCCACAACCTGTGCAAATAAGGGTTGTTTGACTAAAAGCTTATCCGAATTTATGCCGGCTTCTGACAAACCAGAAAAATGAGGAGCATATGGATATTGAGATTTAAATGTTTTTTCCTTAGATGTAGCAATTCTAAGGATTGTCCGCATTTTCCGTGAGTAAATTGAAAGACTTGTGTGATAGATGAAATTGAAATGTTTAGTTCCCTAAATGATAGAGAACCTGTTACGTTGGGATTGTTGTATTTTAAATCGTAAATAAATCTTAGAACCTAAGCTAATATGCGCGTTAAACAAATAAGTTGTAATAATTTTTATCTACATGGTTGTATCATCGTTGAGTTGTATTGTTGATAGAACCTTAGTCTCTTGTAAGTCTGCTTCCGATGACTTGTGCTTGCTGTTTTACTGTCGCTAAGAAGTGGTTTTTTACGCTCTTCTAGCTCCCAACATCTATATGGCTTGTAGTGTAAATTGTTTCTTGAAATGTTTTTTGTTTTACTTGTTGATAGAAGATGGCAGTCTACTTGTTTAGAGTCGGTGTTGCTATAAATCGGCCCTGAGATCAACCATCCTAGTTGTGAATTTCTTATTACAGGTAAGTTCGGCCCAAGGCTCTTTTGCTCGTTGCCGATGATTTGCCAGAATAAATCTGCGCCGATTATAATGTCTATTGTGTTAGAGCTGTTGAATGTAGGATCTGCCAATTGTATATTCGATGGTATCTTGAGGTATTCGAGCTTGATGTTCTTGTGTGGAATGTTCCCAATGAGCTGGGGTAAAATTGCGCAGGCTTGAGTAACATTGAATTTTCCTATTGTTGATTCTAGACGAACTACACTCCTCTCTGAGATGTAGCCACAGGGTGTATCTGACATGCCCATGATTGGTACCGACTTTGTTGCTATTGTTTTTAACCCCAGTCTCTTCTTCAATGCTTTGCTGATAAATGTAGCTTGACTGCCCGAGTCTAAGAGACAGCGTGCTCTCTGCCTTTCGTTGGTCTCCGGATTGACTACCTCGATAACTGCCGTCGATAGGAGGACTTGTATTGCAGGCTGAGACGACGCGAAGTTTGCTACGACTGGAGTGTCGTCAGCCTTAATAACAGCAGTCTGCACCGCGATATTGGCGGCGGGCTGTGATGGAAAGTGCAGCAGTGTATTGTGTCGCTTGCGGCATTGACGGCAAGATGAGCTGCGGCATTCCCTGACATTGTGTCCTCTCTTCAAACAGTTACCACATAGACGTAATTTAAATGCTTCTTCTTGTCTTTGCTCGGGAGACTTGGCTAGGAAAACAGGGCAATTATATATGATGTGATCTTGATTGCAATATGTACATGCGTATTGTGATTTATGTTGTGTTGTAGTATTGACTGGAGTAACATTGTAGTTTGTTGTGCATGTTAATGTTTTGTAGGCGTGTACGTTTTTACTTGGAGTTTGCTGCGTGCTAGTTGCATTTGTCTTGTTGTTACACGTTTCCAGGATGCCTGCTCTGTCTTGTAGGAACTTTGTTAATTGACTAAGTTTAGGCATATCCTCGAAAGTGTTTCTTACTTCTTCCCAAGCTCGCTTCGTAGTATGGTCTAGCTTCATACAGACCATATGTATAATAATAGTGTCCCACTTCTCTGTGGGCTCACCAAGGCTAGATAAGGCTCTTAGGTCCTTATTGACGTTATCTATCAAGGAGCGTAGTGACTTGTCATTTTCCCGGCTCATGGACTCTAGATTGAATAGTGCGTTTAAATGATTATTGATTAGATGCCTCTTGTTGTCAAATCGAGCGCATAGGAGGTCCCAAGCTTCGCTATATGTCTCTGATGAGACCTCTAAATTCGTCAGTAGCCTGGCAGCCTCGCCCGTAAGATATGAATTTAAATAATGAAATTTGTGGATTGGTAAAAGTTGCGAATTGTTGTGTATGAGTGATTTGTATGTATCCCTAAACTCTAACCAATCTGAATAGTTGCCGTTAAATTTAGATATAACAATAGTGGGCAATTTAAAACTAACTTCGTGAGGTCGATGAGAGACGTTTTGCGTTGAAGACGCCTGGATATTGGTTTGGGAATATTGTGAGATTATTGTTTTTGCTTTCGATAGTAATTGAGTAAATTGTGACTCTGTGGCGTCTCTCTCATCGATTTCATCGTCGATCGTATCAGGGCAAAGCTCATCGATCTTATCTTGCAGCAAATCGTAATTTTGGAATAATTCGGTAACCTTTTGTATCCTAAGTTGTAGTTCGTTAAATTGAGATTCCTCGACAATAGGCCCTACTTGTGCAAGATAGTTTTTGAATTTATTTAGTCTACCTCTGATACTAGTACGTTTGTTTATTAAGCTATCGATATCCGCCATTTTAGACATAATAAAACTAGATAGAAATTGTAAATGCGATAGTTGCGTTATACCAAATTTAACTAAGAATTATAGATGAGTGATAAATAAATTGGAATATAGTTACTCAATGCTCCTCGTAATTCAGGCTGACAAGTTACCGGCACTCCATCGGCGTCGGTGAACTAGTAGAATTGCCACGCTGTGGCAAGGCTCGGGGTGGGCGCAATGTGCGTACTCGACCTCGTGCTGAAATTGTCGGCCAAAAGCGTGGTATATAATATGCACGGGAATAATGAAAGTTTAAATAGCGTGGTACATAGAAATAGGATAGATAAGTAGGCTGCGTGGTAATTTTAGATAGAAATTTAACACGTTAGTTCGACCAAGGGAAATTGTAAACAATTAGGAGATAGATCAACCTTGGGAAATATGTTTGGAAATATTGTATGCAAGCCTAGCTGGCGTGGTATATGTATATGGAGTATAATATGTAATTTGAAATATGTGATAATTTGAAAGCAAATAAACGTTTGTTCGACCAAGGGAAATTGTAAACAATTATGGAGATAGATCAACCTTGGGATATATGTATAGAATATTAAATGCAAGCCTAGCTGGCGTGGTATATATGGAGAACAGATATTATGAGATGTGTGGTAATTTGTATGCAAAAAATACACGTTAGTTCGACCAAGGGAAATTGAAACAATTAAGGAGATAGATCGACCTTGGGAAATAAGTGCAATATTAGCTGGCGTGGTACATAGGAATTGAATTTATTGATAGACTATGTACACACATGTACGTGGGAAATATATTAGTTCAACCAAGGGAAATTGAAATTGTGAATATAGCTCGACCTTGGGAGTTAAGTTTTTGTGGCATAGATACGTGTGAATCGACAGAAGATTGAATATAAATTGTTATTGATCGACCACAAGTTGTAGCGGAATATTGCACAGGTTGGAGGCTACAACAAATGGGAAGGATATTTGAAATAGATAAGGAACTTAGCTGAGAAATAGGAGTCTGGCACGAAGGGATTGCGTCAGCCGGCCGGACCTTTTCTTTCTTCCTTAACACCGCGTGGTAGTTGCTGCACGTGGATATTTGCTCGGACTTCTTCTCTCTTCGATATCGTCACAGATGCCACTTCGTGGCTATTGTGGATTGGATGTTTTATCACGGTCGCCACTTTATGTTGTTACGGTCGCCACTTTATGTGGCTTATAATCTTCTATTGAAACACACGTATACTATTTCACGGTATTTATTGTATTGAGTGTTACTGTTGCTGTTGGATTTTACACACTGATCGATGCGGGGGCGCGTAAGACGTTGCGCCCGCAGATTTTAGGGGCGGTCCTGTGCGTTGAGTGGGGGAAGCGCGGACCGGTTTCGCAACCCATCATAAAGCGCTGTTTAGGCGCGAACAGTTATAAAAAAAATCAAATCAAACAGTACTGTGCCGACCCTCCGTAGGGACAAGGTCTATTTGATGATTATTTATTTGTCCGACGGTTCTTTGATTAAAAATTAAAACAATTTGGAAATGTATTGAAAATTTTATTGTTAATCAGATAATAATCCTCCGATGACAATCTTGAGTGAGGTTGAAAAATAAAATGGAATCATCAATCAATCAAACTTTTAAAAACTCCTGAAATAAAAGAGGTTTTATTTAGTACTTTTTGTATTAAGTATTCTAAGATTTAAGTATTTATTTAAAATCATTTTAAGTTCTTACTTAGAATTGTGTGTAAATCTATTTTTTCGTAATAAATAAGAACGGTATAATCTTACTAATATTATAAATGGGGAAGTTTAGATGATTGGATGGATGTTGCGAGGTATCTCCTAAACTGCTTTACGGATCTTCATGAAATTAGGGCCTATGTCCATAATGCTACATATATAGGTAGAGCATAATCTGAAAGAATACATAGGCTACTTAACTTCTTTTTCATATTTTTCCATATTTTTATTAATATTTTTAAAGTGTAAAAATTATCTTGATAAGAAAAAAATGAAAAAATACGCATACATATATAATAAAAAAGTACTCATTAATGTAATAAGGGTTATGAACCCAACAAAAAAAAAAAGAAAAAAAGATATAAACTATGCAAAATGAGTACGGACCAAAAGTCTGTAGATGTTGATTAAAAAAAACACTTTTTTAAAAGCACGCGGACAGAGTCGCGAGGAACAGCTAGTATAAAATAAATTTTACTCACCAACTTGAACTGGAACTGGAGGACTAAAATTTCATACAAAAGTGGTTAAAAATTAAAAATGTAACCGAAACACACATGCCAGTAAAACGCCAGCTGGCATACCATCTAGTGGCTTGTACTGCCTTGTACGTTCTTTATTACATTTACCGGTACTAAGGTTACGTAATGAATGTGATGAATTTCATATTTTAATCTTTAATGTTGGTAATCTATAATTACTAATATAATAAAGCGTAAACACATACTACTTTGTGGCGTAGGATGTCAGCAATTACAGCATATTTTTGAATAATACTTTCTTTAATAAAAAAAAACCCTACACTTACGACATGCTTTAGGCTATATATTTTCACGCTATTAAACTTAGGGAGTAAATAATTTGAAAAAAAAAAACGTTCACGCGGGAGAGGGACTATAAACTACAAGCTGCCAACATTAAGGAAGCAAGGTTATTATGGACATTATTAATAATTAGCTGTTCCCGTGCGACTTCATCCGCGTGAAATTATAAAAACTTTATTTTATTGTTGTAAATATCAAATAATTTTGACATTTACAATTGATGAATTTGGCAAATAATAAAATAAAATAAAGTTTTTATAATTTCACGCGGATGAAGTCGCACGGGAACAGCTAATTATTAATAATGTCCGTAAATTATAAATAATATTCAATTCATTAAAACCGTAACATAAACACGATAATCATGTCAACGTATAATTTGCATGTAGATACTTACGAAAATGTCAATCTGTGGAACATTAGGGGTTTATGTAAAAATAAATGAAAAGACCACTCCCTGGAAGAATATGCTGTCATATCTTAGTATTACTTTTAAGGTTTTTAACGGTTAAGAGGACAAACAAGCCCTAATATTTTAAATGCGAAAGTTTAGATGGATGGATGGATGGATGTTTGTTATAGTTTGTAGCCTGAACCTGAACGGTTCTTCATGAAATTCGGCACAGATGTAGAGCATAGTCTAGAAGAACGCATAGGTTACTTTTATCCCGGAAATAGTTACTGTTCCCGTGGGATTTATTGTTTTATAAATGCTGCGGAGAAATCAGAAAACTGTTCAAGCCCCTAAATTGTAATTATAAAGTACTGGAAAAAGGTTAGTTATACGTACTACACGTTTTATAATACGCTTAATTTTTTTCTTCTTCATTTTAAGACCCATGGTCTTGGCATTTCCTGCAGTTTTCAAACCATTGTCCTGTCGCACGTTTGGTTTCATTTGAATTTTGATATTCTGTGTAAACAAAAAATCTGAATTACAATTTTTCCCCATTTTTTTAGTTTAGACAATAATACCCGATAAAATAATAGTAAAACCCACAGTATTTAGTTTTTTTTTTAACATAAGATGAGAAACGAGCAAGCGGTCACTCTACATAATCAAAATCATGCTGAATCATGCATTTGCAGATGCATTTCCTACCTTAAGAGCGGGCGCATACCAGAGTAAACTATCGCACAATGTGTAATTGTTTCGCATCCAACTGTTTAGTTGCACAACTAAAAATCGAGTAGTATGCATCATACAAGCTCATAGGAATCAAAGTGCGACTAAAACGTTGTACGATAGTTTAGTCATAGAGAAGAGAACGTCGGCGACTATAATTAAATTGTTTACGTTTAAAAGAAAATCATCATATCCCCTGCCTTATCCTACTCCCGTAGGGTCGGCGCACCGGGTTTTCGTCCTCCAAAGCATTCTATCATCCGTCATCTCAGTCATCACTCCCTTCTTGATCATGTCACCTTTCACACAATCCATCCATCTCTTTCCAGTTCTACCTCTACCGATGTACCCCTCCACATTCATAACTAACATCCTTCTTGTTACATACGATTCATCCCTTCTCATAACATGCCCATACCACTTTAACCTTTTACTCCTTATTTTCTCAACCACTGAGGCTACTCTCAAACTTCCTCTAATATACTCATTTGTTACGTTTAAAAGAAAATAATAACGATTGTACTACCCCTCTCCTGAGTTTTCCGATCAAACAAGATTCATTGTTCTTTCCCTTGACACATTCCGTACGTTTTACCGGTTGCTGAAAATATTTAAACGTAAACAGTTAAGATAAATGTTTTGTTCCTTAATGTAAAATTTAATGTTCTTAATGTTCTGTATTCTAATTAAGTACCAAAGTAGAATTCAAATCATATGATTTCGGTTAAAACAAAGTTAAAGCATAATACACTAATTAAAACTTTTACGACTTAATCTAACTAATATTATAAATGCGAAAGTTTAGATGGATGGATGTTTGTTAGATGTAGCCTAAACGGCTGTACGGGTTTCGATGAAATTTGGCACAGATGTAGAGGTTAGTCTGGAAGAACACATAGGCTATTCACTTTTGTATTTTTTCCAATTTCACGCGGACGGAGTCGCGGGCAAAAGCTGGTTGGCCATAAATCAACATAGACTTACACCTAAAATCAACGCCGAGGTGCAAATAACACCAAGAAACAGCAATAAACAGTGCATGTTTGCTTCTGAAAATGTCAAGTTTTATTAAGTGTTTTTTTATTTTTCGATCGTAAACCTATTGTAGTTATGATACGTTGAATAAACTGTATTCAAAACCGAAACAAATTATGATTTTTTAATTAAAGTTTTAACTATGTTTATAATTCGACGTAAATTTCATATTCACTTTCTAATTGTTAATCAGTGTTTGTTGAAGTTGATTAAACAATCTTCTTAATTTATTTTACATTTAATTAAACCGCGTATTAAGCAAACGTTCTTCGCATATTAATTTCTACATTTCCCTATGCTTACTAACTTTCGCTCGCGACACTGTCCGTGCGGAATTACAAGAAAGACTTAGCAAGTAGCCTATGTGTTCTTCTGCAAGAAGAACTGACTATGTTCTATGTCTATGCCAAATTTTATCCAGATGCGCTCAGCAGTTTAGGATACAAACATCCATCTATTCAAACTTTCGTATTTATAATATTAGTTTGTATTTATTTTAAATTTTGCCTAATTTTTTTTTATTATAGATGAGAAAGTTTTGGATTTTTGTTACCAAATACGTCACTATAAAGATAAATTACGATCTGGACAAGGTACAGTAGGGAAATTTGGCGGTGTTCCACTTTGATATTATATAGTCGGTTGTATTTTTTTAACCCATTGGAACGTAACAATAAGGCGAAGCTTTTAAATGAAAAAAGTGGTTAAACCATTGTTGTTATACCTACTTGGATATTTGTATGAAAGCGGATTTTTGTAATTTTACTGAAACTGGAATACCGCGGATTTTCTCGACTGTACGTTTTGGGGAATGTTTCCCGCGATTACATGTTAGGTTCCACTCTCTCTCTCTCTTCTATTCCTATGTCCCCAAAGTGAGGCAGAGCGCGTCCACAGTACGCCGCCAGCTCGCTCTGTCTTGGGCTCTGCGTTGTATCTCGGGCCATGACAGCCCGACTAGGTTCCACTGGGTTAGGGTAATTTCCGTTTCACATATGTTTGCTCGATAACTCTAAAAACGTATAAGAGGATCGATTACAGTTTGGAATAAATCATACGCTGTATCTTTTAATTTCAGATCTATTAGTTTTTGTTTTTCTTATATTGAGAACTAGCAATTTTTTCATG